ATATATATATATATATATATATATATATATATATATATATATATATATATATATATATATATATATATATATATATATATATACTATATAATAGCTTGTTGAAACCTATTTAGGACCTTCTTAATAATCAGTGGGGGGGGAAAAATTAGGATTTCCATTACAGTAACCAAACCCCTCATAAATAGTAAAAACTTTATCATGTTTTCACTAGTTTTGACTATCTATCTTTGGTGATGAGCTCCAAGTCTTTGGGGATGGAAGATCTCATTGCCATCCCCCTCATCTTCAGCTCTGCTGCATAAACTCTGAGTGAGATTCAAGTCTGACTGGGAGACGGAAACATCAACGATATTTCCAGTCACTGGTTGGTAAAATTAAATTGTTACTTTTAATATACTTTAATCTGCCAGCGGCACAAATAATTTTAGGCTTAATACCCAAAATTCATATTTATGCTCATAAAAGAAAAGAAAAAAAACACAGCAGAAAACAGTACCACTCAACATGGAGTGGTAATTAAATCAACACAGCTTGTTTGGATTAATTAAAAATATTTATAATTTCTTGCATGATCAAAAGTCACAACACAAGTTTAAGGGATGAAACGTGTCTCCCCTAAACAAAGCAGGATGAGAATATTGATTAGAGAGTATGTGAACTAAATAGATTGGTACATTTAAGTGAACATGGTGTTAAGCTGGCAGTAAAACTTTGATAGGTTTACTCAGACAGTTTGCTTTCTACAATAAGAAGATATATTTCGTGGAAGGTCACCCTACAAATTTGAAATGATATATTTTATCAGTCTTTATCAATGAAAATTACTACAGCTACAAGCTACCAATATTAGGCACAAGAAATGTTTCAAAGCAGACACTTTGACATTTATTATGTATGCATATCAATATACAAAAGTCTGTTTGCATGATTTGTGGTCAAAGTTTTGCACAGAAATCCTCCCCAAATAAACACAGTGTTGCAGGCAAAGTGCTGCCTAAGCCCAGATCTGGGAGAAGACTTGAGGGACCAGCAAAAAAGAGCAAGGCAGCTTACATTAGTGATTGATGGTCTCTGTCTGTGCAATAGCTGACTGAGCAACATGTACACTTCTCCTATTCACACACTTAATGGCTCACCACGTTCTGTATAAGGTGCTTGTCCTCAACTGCATGAACCTAAATCCATGGAGTGCTGTGCGCATGTTGAGGACCGAACAGATCAGGGCTAGAGTAGGCTAATTTGAACGAGGGACGTACCATGCAGTCGTGGCATCTTGCTGTAGAGCGTGACCTGGAGTGCTTTGTTGAATCTCTCCCTTTGCATCCCCTTCTTTTTCAACCGTCCCCCTTATTCCATCACTGTTAAAAGATTGAATGAAGACAAAAAAGAAAAAAGGAAAAAAGACATTAAATGTACAGCAATACTTTGTTGACCACCAGCTTTGTTGACCTGCATAAACTATACTGTAGGAGCACTTTTCTGGCAATCCTTGATCCTGTCACGTCCCTCGTCCGGTGCCAAGACGTGTCTGGTCTGGCCCTCGGCCAGGCTGGGCTGGACTGGGCTGATCGCCACCAAGGCCCCAGCAGCCTAGCAGGCTGGACAAGCTTAATGCTGACACATCGCTAACATCAACCAGGGAGGAGACCACTGGAAGATGCTGAAACATCAGCACGCCACCATTTCAGAAATGCAGGGGAAGATTAGACTTTGGTCACAATAAGGCTACGTTTGAGAAATCGTCCCAATTGTGCTTAACTGTCTTTTTAGCAGAATCTGATTTAGATATGATAATAATAATAAAAAAGACTGCAAGAAAAAAATTGGGAAATGCACAAAAAAGGCCACACCCCTTTACATAAGCCTGCGCTTATTCAAATCAAGGAGCTATAAGTGCTTTAGTAAGACAGACGACCAGCCAAAATAATGATATCCTTCTCAATGTGAGAGATCAGGTTAGCTTATTTAAACATTATTTTACTTACAAAGAGACAAGAGAACAAAACCGATTATAACAAGTTGGATCAGTTCAAAAATATGGTTATTTTTGAACTCGGTAAACAATTACTTGGTTGCTAGAGTTATATGTGCGTCACAGGCAACAAAGACAAAACGTGCATACCCTGCATCACAACAAGGCTAAAAATGTGCATAGATTTACAGAAGTGCGTAAGAAACCGTCGTTGCATACAGACCTTTTAAAAACACCCAAGTTGTTTTCTGCAACTTCTGTTGGTGCTTACCAAACAATGCAAATGAGCAAACGAGATTGGCAGAATGAAGCACTTTATCAATATGCACAGATATAACCAGGAGTGCCACTGATCGATGATTCAAACCTTCTCCCTACAGCCTTGTTTGTGACCTCTGACTTCTCGCCTCTCGAGGGGGTTAAACTTATTACCCTTTGACTCGTGTGACCTCTAGTTTGAAAGGAGCTAGATGGAAGGATGACCACAGCTCGGGTCCTATTGGTCACTCTCTGACCACTCTGCGGCCGGGGGGGGGGGAGCTGACCATCCGAACCCTTGTGGGATGTGACCCTGGCCCCGCCACACGCTTTGTGGGTAATACCATTAATAGGTCAATACTAACCGCAAAAAATTAGATTTTGAAAACAAGTGAACAGAATGTTGATATCATGGGTTGTTTTTTTTCTAAAAGGTGTGCAAGCAGCGACACACTTTTTTTTTTTTAAACAAAAAGAAGGATAATCTTTTAAAACTCCTTTAAATTTTGCTATATCATCATCTGGATCTAAATGTGTGCAAGGTAAAAAGCTGCAAAAAATGAGCAAAATGTTTATTTTTCAAGCTATTGGCTACAAATAAATCCCCCAAAAATTGCTTGTAACCTGTTCAAAATTGAGCTTTTTATTTTCACTAATCAAGACCTGAAGATTCAACTTAATTCAGAAAGTAAGTGTTTTAAAGAGGATAGTCTCAGTCATAATTTGAAATGAAAGTTGTATTTCACTGCCTCTCCATCCTGAGCAGAAACGGTTGTCCTGGGTGTCTGCCAGTACACCACGTTACATACGAGACATGTGCTCTCCCCTTACACACGCACAGGATTATGTACCAGTTCAGATTTTTCTCCAAAAAAAAACAAAACAAAACATACAAATTAAACATAAAAATAGAAGATGCTGCTGTGCATATATTAAATGTTTTTATTTCATTTACAAATTTGAATTTAAAAAATATCTACCTATCTATTTGGAATCCATCATTTCTGTAGAATAAATTTAAAAAAAAAATCTTTCTACTAAGATGTGTTTCTTTATTGGATTTAAATTGATTGGGAGGTTTCAATCAAACATAATAGCAATGCATATAGATGGCATGCATAATGCGCTTTGTTTTCTCCACCCGTAAGAGTGCCAATAAAAATGAAACTCAAGGCTAAATAGTGCAACAAGCAGTCAAAGCCCTGACCTCTATAAAAATAATTTTAAAAAAAAGGTGTGTTAAAATGCAGCAGAAGGTAGTAAAATAAAAAATATATATATATATTACAGAGTTGTACCAACAGGAACCCACTCTGCTGAAGTTGTCAGACCTGCAGCTAACAGTAGAGCTTGTAAACAACTGTGTATGAACACACATTCAGGGTGCACATACACTACTGCACATGCAACCTCACGCAAGCGGGAAAAGCTTTACTATGAGAGGAGAAAAATCTACCATCAAAATAAAGAAGAGAAGAAACAAAAAGAAGCCAAATGTACAGCGTCCTCGTTCAGAATAAAATGTTTGTAGAAAGAAGCGGAAAGGAGCCAGTACCTTCTGGAGCATCCCTGCCTCAAGAGAAGGGTGGGACACCTGCAGAACCTCGCGTGGTCTATCCAGAGCTGCTCAGCGACTGCTGCCTCATGGAGCAGAGAGAGAGTGTGTGTGCCTGTGTGTGTGCATGTGTATGTGTGTGTGTGTGTGTGTGTGTGTGTGAGCCACAGGGAGGGGATGTGTGTGTGTGTGTGTGTGTGTGTGCGTCGCTGGCTGAGGGAGGGGATCCCTCCATCTCCCTCCTCCTCTTCCTCCTCCTCCTCGGGACTATGCCTCCTTAACTGGATGGACGGGTAGGTGGGGCCACTGCAATAAGCAAACACACACACACACACACACATTTCTCTACGCTTGTTATGTCCTCGCTTCCCTCACTCTTTCCCGCTTCCACACTTCCATCTCTCCGTCTCTTCTCCAGACTTCCTCTCTCCCTCGCAGACATGCTCTTGCCCCTCTTGCCTCGTGCTTCTCTCTCAGTCTGTCTGCCGGACTCTCCTACTCTCCCTCTACCTTTTCATCCCTCGACCCCCCTCTAGCCCCCGTCCTCGTTCACTGGGTTATCGTAGTAACATGCTCTCAGTAATCTGGTGGGGAGATGGGGACATGTGCTGTTTTTTGGGGGGCGGGGGGCGGTGGGGGCTGGTGGTCCTGAAACTCCTGGTCCGGGTTTGTGTGCGTTGTGGTTTTTGATCACATGGCACAACAGCAGAGCTATAAGACTAAGCTGGATGGTCAGAGAGCATGGTGTGATGGAGGGATGAGGGGTAAAAAGAGGAGGGGTGGTGGCACAGCCGACAGTAGCAGAAGCACGCCTCAGCACTGAGCCACTCACCCTCCTTCTCTTCATTTCATTCATTCATTCAACCACCAAACACATGTCCCATCTGATGCAGAGAGGAGCCATCCCTACATAAATCATTCTCCTATTCCACTGGCCACACATTATATTCAGAGTATTGATTTTTTTCCCTCTCTCTCTCTCTCTGTCTCTCTCTCTCTCTCTCCCCCCCACCCTGCTGCAGCACTGATTACAAGAAAACCCTGCACACTGATCAAAAACAGGAAGTGAACCACCATGGCAGACACTTTGCTTTGGTGCCAATGCTGAAATGCGGCACTCGCTGTGTAAAAACTTTAGGCAACGTGCACAATGAAAATATAAAAAAGTCGGAGGGGAAACATCAATTTGCGACAATGTTAATTGGTTTCTGAAAAAGCATGGAATCAACTCACCAAGTTTTACTTTGGCCACAGAAACAGTCCTGAACTCCTGTATTTAAATTAGACTGTTGTTTTTGTTGTTGTTTTTTTAAATGAAGAGTGACCATCAAATGGGCAAAGCTGTGGTTTCCACGACAGCACAGCTGAGGACACTTTGAACCCTGACCCTGTACCTCTGCCTGGGCTGCGGAGCAGTGACCAAACCGAGCGTCCTTCAAAAACAAGGGTCAGCAGGGGTCAAATGGTAATGACCTCTCTCTAACTACACAGCACTACCATATCAGTCTCCTCCAAACAGCATCTGAGGATTATTTATCCTAATCACAGCAGAGCAGGTTTCAAGGTGCCCCTCCATCACCAGAAACAGAACCTCATGGAAGTGTCCGCACCTCTTAAATTTCCCCACATTTATTTATTTATTTATTTATTTTTATTTTATACGAAAGGTCAACACACAGAATGGCATGACTGTAAGGTGAGAGAACAAAGATACATAGTTTTTACTATTTTTGTCAAAAAAACAAAAAAAGTGTGTTGTGCATTTGTGCACCAGTCAATTTGGAGTATGTAATTTGAACATAGATTAAACACTGTGCAGCAACTGAGAACAGAGTAACATTTTTAAAAAATCTGCTCAGTGGACAAACATTTTGTGTCATTCGAGGTAGAGCGAAACAAATCAAGTCAGATGGATTCAGACATTTTCAGCTTGCTGTGTCTTGTACTCCAAGCAGAGGGAGAAGCTAAACTGAAAGCTCTGTTCCCAAATTCAGTTTGGATTCCCAGAAGAATCAATATTTAAATGTCATAAGAATGCAATGCATGATGGTCATTAATGCTGTTTTTTTTAAGCAAACAGCATAAAAAACGGTTTCAACCAAGTCAAGAGGAGCTTTATAAACTGGTTCCATCCGGGGAGCAAACCTCTGCATATTCAAAGAGGGTCGCTTAGCTTAGCCGCAATGATGGGTGAGGCAACTGCAATCTGTAATAAAACTCAAAGTGCAGGGATGTTCCGCAGCAGTGTTCAAAGTGAGGCCTGAGGGCCATTTCTGTCCCCTGGAATATTTTTGTGTGGCCTTCAAGTCCAATTCAAGAATGGTACAGATTCAACTCACCAGCACAGGCAGTTCATGTAGACAGGCATTTTAAAAATATATATATATATTACTAATTTGAAACCTTTCAATGAAGATGCAGGCAAATCATATTCTCCTAAAATGGTAGGTATAACCCAAGCTGTTGATTTTTAATTAGCCATGTTTTTTTTGTTTTTTTGCTTCCATATTGATTTTACAAACATTGAGCAACTTTTGGACACAACCTTTTACTAAGCTCAGCTAAACGAGGCAAGCATTTTCAAAGAGTGACTCATATCCAGTTGTTGTTGCTCAGAACACACTGAAATGTCTAGATCCAGAAAAAAATAAAGTTGAATGTTTGACCACTCGTAGTCACCCATCCTCCCTCATACTGCTGACATATATTTGTACCCAGTTAGTGGATTGTAGTTGATGTTAGCTATGTTAGTGAGGAGGAATCAACCTTGCAAACTACCGATATTCAGATGACCAATCTTCTGACTGAGTCACAGTGTTTCAGGGTGATGTCCAGGGTTAGTTTTCCTTCACAGAGTGTTGTGCTAATAAACCAAAAAGGTTCATTTTTGTCTCATCTAAGCAGTTCATGAATGCTCCTACTTTGTCCCCTGCAGGGTTTGAGGAAAACTACTAACAGGACATCTTATGGCTTTCTTTCAACAGCCATCTTGTTTTTTAAAACCTTAGTTCAACTGGCCTGCATGGGGAGTTCATCTTGGGTTTCAAAAAAATATGTCTGGGAGAATGGGCTTTGATTAGCCGTTCAACCTTAGTTCAAATAGCAGCACACATTAGCAGCTGGAGTTACATATTTTAACTGAAAATGTTTTGTGAGACACAAGCAACTTTCTGTGCATTTCCATCATGCATAGGGTCGCTGTGATGAGTCAGCAAAACATTTAAAGGGTTTGACGAAAGGCTCAAAGCAGGAAATGTGAACATTCGCTGGCCAGACCACAACGAGTTGCAAGACAACATCAAGGAATGGAGTTGAAAAGTGTCTCAAGCGACAGTGGAGTTGGTGTTTTGGGAAGGATGACACTGTCTTGAGGAGGAGAAACTGGGTTGGAAGAGATTGGGTGGTGGGGGGGAAGACAGATGAAGGGGTGGAGGGACTGATCAGAGGGGTGCCAGACACAAAGAGGCCACGCTATGGCCAGTGGCACGCGATGGGCAGATTAACCAGCGTTTCCTCCCCTAACCGAAGCATTAGGACACCTGACTGATTCCCTCCAATGGCAGCCAGCCAAGGATTCGTGGGAGGGTGGGAGGGAAGACACGCTGGGGCTCGCCTTTCAGCACTCAGGCTCTGCAACAACACAAAGAAGGGTGGGGTGATATTCGCGGGGAGGAAAAAAAAAAAAAAAAACAACAGGGGGAGATAGGGCTGGTGGTGGCTTGGAGTTGGGTGGAAGAGGGGGCTACAAGCCTTACCCCTCACCATCTGCTGCCCGGGCTAAGTGAGGACAGGGGCAGGGCCCGAGCGTGGAGCAGGGTGGAGTATGAGAGCGTGTGCACAGAAAACACACGTGTATCCGCGTGCACGCACCTGTTAGTATGTCAGTGGGTGGGTGGGTGAGTGGAACAGCAGATGGACAGGGCAAACTCCTGGCACTGCAGCGTCCATGTTGGCCATCCCGCGTCAGCCAGCATCCCACACATTCCCCCCCCGCCCCCAAACATTCTTAACCCCTGCTTGCAAAAACACAGTGTGAGACAATTCTTTATGTTTTTCTCAGCTTGATTAAGACATCTACAATTAGAGACATTTCGAGACGGGTGTACGAAGCGTTTAACTGGTGGGGGGGGGGCAGCTCTCTGCGATCAAAGCCAAACAGACGCAGCCGCCCCTTTTGCCTCCACGCCACTTTGTTGTTCATGTTCACTTAAAATTTGCAGGTGAAATTTTAGGCTCATATTAATGGCAGGCAAACGACTGGTGGCCTAAATTACACATGCTGACGCATCCTTCTTTACCGAATTCTCGTGTTTTGCTCAGTTCTGTCTGTTCGCCTCCATCGGGGAGCAGTTCATGCTGCCCCTTTTTAAAAATAAAGGGGGTCAGAGCAACAGACAGTTCAGTCTCGCTTAACAGTAATCTGAAAATGCCTGTAATCCTCCATACAGAGCCCTTCTGGAGAGCGTGGTTGTAGCATTGAGAGGTGTAACCTCGTCTCAGTTTAGCAGCCATGTGTCTGACCAGGCTTGACACGCAAGCAGAGCTTTACAGCTGCCAGGACACACACTGGGACACTGGGACATGAGGCACAGTAAAGCTTCCTCTGTCACTCCCAGGAATTAATATATACCTTTTTTTGTTGTTGTTACAGTGCAGAGAGAGTCCAGAGCTTATATATACCTCAGTAAAATAAATACGGAAAATCTCTTACAAGTGATTTATTCTAACAAAACTTTGGGGGAAAAATTTGATAGATATTCCTCAATACCAATTTTACTTAAACATCAACGAAAATACAACAGGGAACAAAAACAAAGTTATTCCCTTAAATTATATTCATGGTCAGAAAATGCAGCACGATGGCAAGTCTTTTTTGTGTGAAAGATGACATTATTGGTGTCAGTTGTTATTGTTGTCTACAGATTTGAATAATGTTTCTGTGTTCTAATTTAAAAAAAAAAACACACTTTAATCTCACTTTTTGCCAACAGGTATCAGTTTTGTAGGAACAGACGGTACAAAAAGCATTTTTTTTTTTTAATTCACCAGCAATAGCAGAACATGCTATCCAATGACCACAACAAACTAGCTGAAAATTACAGTGGATCTCAAAGTTTACACGCCCCCGTTGATGTCAAACTGTTGCAACGCACTCAAGTCAG